CTGAGACCAGAGAGACAGGTGGACTAACCTGAGACCAGAGAGACAGGTGGACTAACCTGAGACCTGAGTCTTATGAAAACAGAAAAAACTTTCAGAACCAGTTTTTTTTTTCATTCCTGCTCCTGACCCAACTAACCTATCAGGACCCACCTGGACCTGGACCCACCTGGACCTGGACCCTGACCTGAGCTGGTCCACAATCAGATCCTGGTCCCAGGTTCACCCTCAGACACACAAACAGGACCAGCAGATTTTCTGACACAGCAACAATAAAACCGGATTAAATCCGGTCCACGCGCACGCGCAGCAGACAGGTCGTGCGCGCGCTCCGCTTTGAAGCAGATGTCAATCATCCCGCAGCGCGTGCACGAGGGGCTGGAGGACAGCAGTGTCGGGAGCGCGCCTGCTGATGCTTCCAGAAGAAACCAAATCAAATGTTGATGTTCGGAGGTTCTGATGCGGCTCGGTTCGGTTCGGTTCGGACCCACAAACAGATCCTGATTCTGCGGCAGCGCGCGGGAAACGCGACAAACGGCGGAACGAGCTCTGTTCCGACCCGCCCAAACGAGCCTCCGCGTCCAGAACCAGAACCAAGATGTTCCGAGATGTTCTGTAACTCACCCCATCCCGTCCGACACATCGGCTGCTTCCTACCTTTAATCCTGGTTCTGGTTCGGTGCTGAAGCTGCTGGACTCCGAGAGCCTCCCAGGTTCCTCCTCCTCCTCCTCCTCCTCCTCTGCGGTTCTGACTCGCTTCCTGAACTGGGCCGGGAGGAAACGGGAACAATAGGAACGGTTCTGTTGGTGGCGGGAAACAGGACGAGCTTCAGCTGATTTAAGTAAACAAAGAGCTGAAGAACTGTAAACAACAAAACAATGATGTCAACAATGTAAAAATAACCACAAAATATACTGAAAGAATATAAACATGTTATAAACACATTTATTATAAACATGTTATAAACACATTTATTATAAACATGTTAACACATTTATTATAAACATGTTATAAACACATTTATTATAAACATGTTAAAAACACATTTATTATAAACATGTTATAAACACATTTATTATAAACATGTTATAAACACATTTATTATAAACATGTTATAAACACATTTATTATAAACATGTTATAAACACATTTATTATAAACATGTTATAAACATGTGTACTTGTACCTCTACCAGAGTATTTAACAGTGTGTACTTGTACCTCCACCAGAGTATTTAATAGTGTGTACTTGTACCTCTACCAGAGTATTTAGTAGTGTGTACTTGTACCTCTACCAGAGTATTTAATAGTGTGTACTTGTACCTCTACCAGAGTATTTAATAGTGTGTACTTGTACCTCTACCAGAGTATTTAAGTGTGTACTTGTACCTCTACCAGAGTATTTAATAGTGTGTACTTGTACCTGTACCAGAGTATTTAATAGTGTGTACTTGTACCTCTACCAGAGTATTTAAGTGTGTACTTGTACCTCTTCCTCTCCTCTGTTACATTCGGGGAAACAGTTGAATCAGGAAGTGAACAACAACAATTGCGTAAATGATCAGATGAAACAGGAAGTGATGTCATTGTGTGACATCAGGTGGTTAACATGTTACCCACAGTGCAACACTGAGGCAGGATGGCTGCTGTGTTTCAAATCAGGAGGAAAGCTCAGTGTGTGTGTTACACAATGTGTGTAACAGTATGTGTTACAGAATGTGTGTAACAGTGTGTGTTACAGAATGTAACAGAGTGTGTGTTACAGAACGTAACAGAGTGTGTGTTACAGAATGTAACAGTGTGTGTTACAGAATGTGTGTTACAGAATGTGTGTAACAGAGTGTGTGTTACAGAATGTAACAGTGTGTGTTACAGAATGTGTGTTACAGAATGTGTGTAACAGAGTGTGTGTTACAGAATGTGTGTAACAGTGTGTGTAACAGTATGTGTTACAGAATGTGTGTAACAGTGTGTGTTACAGAATGTAACAGAGTGCGTGTTACAGAGTGTTTGTTACAGAATGTGTGTAACAGTGTGTGTTACAGAATGTGTGTAACAGAGTGTGTGTTACAGAATGTAACAG